AATTTATTTAGGGTACTGAAGCTGCTGTTAAGCTGTTCTTTAATTTTGGCCGCCATTTTAAAAAGCGCCCTCAATTGCCTCTCGAAATCTTCACATTAATAACTTTAGCTAGTTATACTTTACTCCTGTCATTACATATTCAAAAGTTGGTCAAACTTACCTCTTCTGTGCTTATTTTACCCATATATATGTAGTTTATTGGATTTTGGCGGCCATTTTGAAAAAAGCGCCCTCATGCGAAAGTTCTCAGGTTACGCCCCTTTTACCTCGCATATTCTGATTCCCCATAAAAAACTGGTCTAGAAAAACCATATGAGAATTTCTACCTCTCCAAGTGGCACCTATCTCAATTATAGCCTGGGCTAAAGAGAGCCAACAACGCTCATTGAGAGCGTAAAAAAACGATACGCTCTACGCAGCTAGTGTAGGACGCCAACTAACGCTTGTATGTGTTTTATTACCCAGTAATCCACCGCGCACGGTAGGTTTGTCTGTTTCTGTTTATCTGTTCTCCACAAGATACTGTACTTTTGTTTTCTGCTTACTGAGTTTATAGCGGGCGTACTTCTACCGCGCTGCGCAGCGCTGCACTGGGTAATAAAAAGAATATACAACCATTAGTGGACGTCCTACACAGGCATGACGTTTTTACGAACAGGACTTTGCTCTCTTGTTCTATTTATACTCTTTGTTAATATTCATGAGGTGATAATACGGATAGAAAAATACGCACTCAGTCGGCCAGTGTTATCAGTGTAGACCTGTGATCAAGTTTTATTATGCAATGCATTAACTAGGTAAGATCAATGGAAACGCAAATAACAAATAAACAATTCTGAACCCATTTTTATAGCAATTAACAGTCAATTAAGAATGTTATGTGCACTTCGTTGAGTTTTACTTACTTGAATGAACTGAAATATACTTTACTTCTTAATTTTTCTTCTATGATAAAAATATTTAATTTTCTTAGTAAAAATAAATACCCAAGGATTTGAACGGAATACCCAAGAACCCAAGACCAAGTCAAAATACCCAAGATCTTGGGTAAATACCCAAGCAGTGGTCACGCTGTATATGGGCGCTACTCAGTCGGCGACCGCCACCACGGTTCAAAATATTGTCTCGTATTTTGATTGTTTTTACAACAAACAAACATAAACATATAAACATGAATCTCCTGAACACTTTGCAATCAATTATGAGTCTCTATGACCAGTAGTTACTGAGATATGACATTACAAGGTCAAAGGTCAAACTTTCAAAAACCGCATTTCCTGCCATTTTTTGATAAAAAGTTGTACAGGTATTACAACAAATAGGAACATGCATATTGTGAACAATTTCAAACAAAAATCAAGTCTCTCTGACTAGTGGTTATCGAGATACAAGCGTCCAAATCAACAGGCGGCCATTTTGAAAAACGCCCCCAAACGGGACTTTCCCCCAATATCTGGGAGGTATATAGGAGCTATATTTTATCTAAATTGGTCCATCTTGCCAAATCCATTGAGAAAAAAAGGTATCCTAAAATTAGTCACGGATCTCATGAAAATGACTCTACTATTACAAGTTTCTGCCTCTGCTTGATGATATTATTTTTCCGACGAATTTAATAGGTCTTATTCAATCAACCATTCTAGGCCTAAAGACGCTATGTCATGCATCACTTACTACCGCGAAGAACTACTTCAGTTGGGTGCAGGTCAACTCGCCCTTAACCATACCAACTCGGCCCATCACCGATTCGGCCCATGAACAAACTCGGCCCTTGCCAACTCGGCCATTAACCTACTCGGCCCATAACCGACTCGGCCCATAGGCCTGTACCAACTTGGCCCTTGCCAACTCGGCCTATACACCAAGTCGGCCCTTTATAACTGACTCAGCCCGTGAACCAACTCGGCCCATATCCGACTCGGCAACTATCTTGTCCCATTACCGAACATTGACGCCCATATTCTTAAAACAAACTTAAGTCGAACCAAAGATACTAGAAATACAAGATAGAGTTCTCGCATTGTAAAAATGAGGCGGAAGTCGTGCCCAACGAAAACGGCGCCCTTTTTAACCATGCAAATTTCCTATACTTCGTGCCCAACGTACAGGGCGCCCTTCTGCTGCTAAGTATATCCAGACGCAAAAGGCGCCCTTCCTTTTCCACTAATGGAGGAAAACTTTTTCGCTAAGAGTGCGTCCGGCCATGCGATTCTGCGCTGTGTTGTTGTTTTATTCTTTACTGACTCATGATTATGCTTTAATTGTTTTGTGTATTATTTGGATAATAGCAACGATTTCTACCGCCACCAAGGAGGTTATGTATTCACCGATGTCACTGTCTGGGTGTCTATTCCAGTTTGTTTTTA